GGTGGGGAGTAGATACGCCACTGATGTAAGTACAGATTCATGCTTACATTTTACACATTTTTATAGCTTATGGTGATATAAATTTAATTAGACAAAGACCCTGTCTATAGCCCATCATACACTTTAATTAATGTAGAAAACTAGATAACTTTGGTACGATGTTTCTTAAAAAATATAACAATTACGATGAATATTCTCAGAATTCTAAAATGCACGGAACTATAATTAGTATTTCATTCATATACAAATAGTAAATAGGAAGAAAGTATTATCGTGCATGATAAGAGAGAGGTAGGCCTACGTAGCGGCCCGATTGCCGTGTGCACTTCGTGAAATCAGGAAGAGTGATTGAAGATAATTTCGTACGTGCCGTCTTGATCCAAAATAGTGACGCCGGGGCAATAGTTGATATGAATAACAGTACAATGAATATCCACATAGGTCTGTTGAATGCAGGGACCTATCTCTAGCAATACATTAAAAATACAAATTATAATTCGGGACAAATAATTATCTTTACATGATATGACCCATGCCATGTGTAGGCCTACATCGTGCTCAAGGAATGACGCCGGGACCGTATTGATAATAATGGATACGATGAATTTTCTCTAAATTGTACAATGCCTACCTATCATCAGTATAGAGTTCATATACAAACGAACATTTAGTAACAAAATTATTATTTTGAATGATACGAACGTGAAATGTTATGTTCCCAAACGTCAACAAAAATTAGTGGGACGAAGCGTCCCTCATTGTCGTTGCATGTCGTGAAGTGAGCCAAATTTTCGGCCCAACCAGGGCCCCTAAACTGTAAATTCATGTATTTCGTAGGTATAATTTCAACAAATTAGAAAATGCTCGGATGTGTAGTTAAGCAGGCCGTGTCTGTAAGAACAATCGTGAATTATCCACTAAAACGCATAGCCTACAAAAAGCAGGCCTAATTCTTTTTCATAATAATAGATGATGAATGATTAAATTAAATTCGAATAACAATATTGGCCATATTTAACATTCTAGACCTACTTATTAATTTAATAATATTTTGAAATTTGATTTGAAAGTGAATTTCTGTTCACTTTCTTATCAGGGTATAAAATACAGGTGCAGTTCGTTAATAGGCTGCTTCGTGGATGCAGTGGACTGACAACCGCCCCCTGGAGCCAGTTATGCGGTAACGCAAATTCACTTGATTTACAAAAACAGAATTCAAGTTTAACAAAATAACAGATAAGAATGTAACAATATAAAATCTTTTGATAAAAAAAATACAGAGAAAATTGTATGCATAGAAAATTTAGTTATTATCATTTTATATTATTATTAATCATAAATCATATTATGTAATCTACAAATTATTATTATACAATAGTATCTACTTAACAAATAATTGTATATGTTATAATTGTATTAAATGGAAAATTGTACAATTCATTCTATATTTCATTACATAAATGCAATTATTTTGGAACAAATAAGATAATGATTAACATAAAAATGTTTCAAAAAAGTACATTTTCTAAAAACAAAGAAAAGCATTATAAACTAAGACATATAGAAACTTTGTCATCATAACTAATAATACTAACATTATTAACATTTAATCTCTCTTTTCTGTGTTTATATGCATGTAAACCAAATATAATAAACTCCTAAAGACGATTTGTTAAATAATATTTTTTTATGCCATGGAATTTGGTGGTGTTTTTTTAAAATAATAAAAAAAAATTAACTCATCATTAAACTAATATTATTTTGTCAAAATTATTAATAAAAGGTACTTTACACTCATTAATTCTGATGCTTATGATAAATGATAATAGATGGGCTACAATTAATAAAGTATTATAGATTCCATAGCAATTACGTCATCTAATTTGGTCCACCAAATCAATTGTATCGCATAAGGAGGAGTCCTCCCTCATGTGATGCCAATTCTTATTTCTGATTGGATAATAGTCGCTTATGTGTTTACCATCATCGTACGGCACCAACAGAGCATTCAGTGACCCATTGTATGTATACAAAGTACAATGGCGCTACCGGATGTCAAGGAAATTATGGTTTAATTCATTGGTCCTACGACGTACGTACTATATTGATATACATGATGCTGTTACATAATGTGTAATTGCTATTACTGCAGCGTATTATGATCAATAAGGCATTTACTAATGTAGTTACTTAATTGTTTCTATTGTTCTTCCACCTGGAAAAGGTAAGAATAAGAACCATACCAACTGGTATTGCATTCATTTACATTATATAAATACAACACCAACCTAGCTATGTTGACCCTGTCTGGGTAGTAATAGAAGCGTTCCAGCCTACGCTATCGCCTGAAAATAGTAACTCCGGCGCCTAAATAGGGCATTGTTTGCCCTGTCGTAGGAGGCTGAACACATGATTCTACTCGTATTGATGTTTAAATAAATGTTATTTATATTGATATGAGCTTTTTTGGTGATTGTAATACCTAGGCTAACCATCTACTACCTGATAAGCCAAGGTATAGATACCGATTAACCAACAATACTACAATATAAATATGCCAAAAAAGGTGCTAAATTGAAGCACCTACCTAATCACTCCTTGGTAGGATGTACTTTTCCATTTGTTATTAATCTTATTTTAAGGAGCTTTAGTTAATTCTTTAATTGTATTCAATTAAGTGATTTGAAGAGGAGCTACATTAAAGATGAATTGTTATACCTCTTTGGTTTTGAGTTATGGATGATTTTTACAAACCTTTTTTTTATTGAACCTGTAATTTAAACTATTAAGTTGATAGTGATACTTCTGTATATAAGTTGAATGAACCACTTTTGCATGGGAGGTCTTAATTCAAAGGTGTATGTTCACAAAGTAAATTAATAAAACTATTGTTTAAATTTAACAGATTATTTTGTTGAGAAACAAACATAGGCCTACAACTGAGGGGAACCAGTCATGGACCCTGTAGTGGCTGTTGCAATTGGTGTGCTTGCCTTCGTCTTTATTATGTCATTTGTTGGACTGATACTTATATGTAAGCACAGATACTGCCGTATGTTAGATCTAACCTTAAAAGAAACAGTATCAACACAAAGGTAAGTGGTCATAAAGCATCAATACCAGTATTTCTAATTTCAAATTATAATACTGAATTTATAAAATAAAAATTATAAAGGTGTAGATTCCAGATCATCTTAATGATTCCAGATTATCATTAAGATGATGATGATAAATGTAATTGCATATTATATTAAGATTAATTTAATTGGGTTTTCAGCTGTTTTGTTTACATTGGCCTTGGCATTGCCTTGGGTATTATGTGTATAGTGGTATCCAAGAGGAAGTTAGCACACATGTCCTTGTCTGAACTATACATTGCAAATCCTGTTGTATAGTACTCTAGTCATTGTCTTTTATGTAACAAAATGATATGAAGTGAGAGTCTGGTGTGTAGTGCAGAATGTTCCATAGAAAAATATCCATATTCCTATACTGTACTGCCCTGTTAGGGTGTAGATTGAAACTAAAAAAATCAAATACCCCTTAATGTAGTGAAAATCGACCCATTAATAGGACACCAATTTTTAAATGTTTATAATCCGCCATAAAAATAGGGGAAAGGAGTGAATAATAATAATAGTAATAATAATAATAATGATAATTCATTCTTGTATAACGCAAGTAAGCAAGCTCTTAATGTGCTGTACATAATAAACAGAATAAGGATGCCATGTTAAATTAATGAAAAACTTGATAGAAAATAAAGGTCTTTAGCTTGGTTTTAAAAGAGTGAAGCAGGGAAGGAATGAATTTAAACAGCCAGTTATTTGTTCATAATTTATTATTGAAATAGTGGCAATATATGATTATTTTTCAAAACATGAATCTCTGATTAATTACTCATTTGAAATTCTATTATACTGTAGTATACATTATTTTGTATGTTTAAATACCATTGGGATATTCGAATTCCTTATTTTATATTTCAATTATTTTATTCCATTTTCATACATAAAAAAAAATCTGTAATATGTTACCTGTATGTAGTACTAAATAACAATATCACATTACTGTATTTTATCTCTGGTCTAATTTTAATTTTGTGTAAAATACAGTACAAATGAAATGAGTACATTAGCACCTTCAGGCTAACAAAATTTATTGAGACACAAGCTTTTCGCTAGCTAGTGTCTCAATAAATTTTGTTAGTCTGAAGAATGTGATACTGTACTCATTTCATTTGTATTTTATGCTATAGACTAATATGGCTCCTACTTTTATTATCTAATTTTGTGTAAGAATCACACACATATTGACTATGTTTTGTAAGGGTTTTTTTTTTTATTTACTACTGGTGAAATCTGTAAAAAACAACTCGGAATTAAATTTAAAATTGTATAGGCCTATTCTGTATATGGTTGTAATATTTCATATTTTTAATCAATCAGACAAAATGTTACATTAGTCCACCATGCCGAGCTTCCAGCAGACTATGAGGTAGAGTTGAATGATGTGTGCTTTAGTAACCCAAACCTACCAGAACTCCTGGATGAGGAATGGGTCGATGATGCCTCGTAAGTTTGTTTCTCATTGTTATTTATTTTCCGTTAGATCTAAATCTTAGAAAATGTTAATGTACCACTAATATCATATTATATTTATTGTATGTATTCTCTAGATAATTTCATGAAGGTCTACAGTACAATTGAAAGATCTTGTTAATACTTATCTTCAATAACTTGTGGCAAATTAAGACTATATCTTTGTATTCCATTTATAATTCATATATGTATAATCTTATATAATTTAATTTAATAATTGAAAAGAACAATCCTACATAAGTATGAGTAATTAGCATTCTACATACTTAATTACCTTTTTTGAAATTGCCCTCAGCCAATAGGTCTTCAACATGTGGCTGGACATCATCTTCAGCTACATGATCATGATTGCTGAAATCATCATGATTGCTGAAATCATCATCTGGAAAAAAATTAATGATTTTTTTTAAAGCTTTAAAAAATATCATATACCAGTAGGAATTACAGTACTACTACTCCTGGTACTGTAGACAAGCCTATAAGATAGGCCAGCAGTTAAATTACAATTAATTTGTCAGTCGGCCCCTGTCACGTGACATGTTGTTTGTTATTTTGTTTTGCTTAAATCTATCATAAGTTTTTATTAAGTACAATATTTTACTAGGTCTATGTATGGTGAAATAATCCTTTTAAGTAAACAATGTGTAGGCTATCCACGATAATTAATTGCTGGAACCGAACGGATTGCGTATCCTAACTAGACTGTACTAGCCTATACTTTGTATTTTCACTCTATAGCTAGCCTCTTCTTCTAGGCGCTAGGCCTAGTGAAAATAGAGATAGAGGTCTAATGAGTGAGCAAAACCTCGTGGGCCTTTCCAGAGGCCCATCAATCGTCATTCATGATCAGACTCATGAATCATTTTACTACTGTTTTGTTAATTCACTACCATCACATGTTCATTAAAATACTTACCCTTTTTGGCCTTTTTTGAGAAAAAAAACCATCAATTTTCTCTTGCTTTACAACTTCGGTGTCATCTCCGACTACAACTTTTCATAAACAAAAGATTTGATTGGACAGTGTAAAACGATCCAATCCAATTGGAAACCATTTAACAGCCTGTGTTAGGCTCAGTTAGTTCTATTATCATGAGGTCATGTAAGTGTCAGAGGTGACGATGAGTGAGAGATCTGTCAACACAATGTTGTTTTAGCAACAAGTGCGGTGAGATATTCGCCAATCAAACAGATAAATTATCATCATCACTGTCACATCGGATTTTAAAATAAACAAGCATTAGACAATTGCTATGATTTGAGTAAATATAAAGTAAGTTTTGAGTAAATGTAAATATATATAGGCCTAGCCATGTATCGCTGTGTACCATGAGGACAACCACACAATCTCTGCATGGGTAGCCTTTTTTTTTTTTACACAGCCTAAAAAGTAGGCGACGCACATGTGCGATGTACACAGCGGATTCCGTCGCGCGCCGGCAGCTTTTGAAATCCCTGTATCATGATGCTTAACAGCACTATGTCCCTTGGCAGCAAGACTATTACCCTCATTGACATCTTAGTCAGGGTCAGATTAACATAGGGGCTTTTGGGGCGCCCACCGGCCCCAATGAGGGAAAATAGGCCCCGAACCCCAGGGAAAATCACCAAATATCTGGTTTTGTGTTTTAGCCACAGAGTATTTAGGCTCAAGCTCCATAGAACTCAAATCCGGCTCTGATCTTATTGACCCTTGCCAGCATCATCATACCTCTTCATGGCATCATCCAGACCCTTATCAAGCTCACCGTGACCTTTGACAGTTTCATCATGAATTCCATTACCATCTAATCTTTAGAACTTTTTTCAGCATCATCAACAAAATATTGTCATAGTAACATTTTCATTGCCCCATGCACACATTTATTTTGTACATACTTACCCTAGTACAGTATAACAACAATTTCAAGCATTATGACCCATATCAATTTGACCTGTAATTGGTATGTATTAGTATTGTGACTTAAATAAGTACATAATACTATTGTGGCACTATGACCCAAATCAACTTGACCCATGTTTATTATTATAACCCTTTCTTATTTGTAAACAGGGTGGACGATGTGGTTCGTTCAATGTACCCACCAATAGATCCTAAACTGATAGAAGCAAGGTAGGCATTTTTAAAAATTTGTATTTTTTTTTCTTATACAAGGTATTAATACTCGTAACAAGTTTGATGTCCTAAGATATTTTATTGGACACATACAATAATGAAATGTTCTCCACGGCCTGTGTTTATGGTGAAATTCTGCAAAATAATCCTCTGACAATGTATTGAAGCCCCATTCCTGGCAAAAGTCCACTGAAATTTTTTTTTTAAAGAAAAAAATGCATTATAAACCATGGATAAATATTGGCATAAATTTTAGTTTTACACCAAAGGATAAAAAAATGACAAATAGAGACTATTTCTCATAGGCGATTACTATATACCTGACGACTTCGTTACTAGGCAAATTCAGATCGCATTGCAGATCGTTGTAGATCGCATTAGCTGGAATGCTCTCGCTTTTGTGTAGGCTTTATATATTTCACAAGTGTCAGTACTAGCAATGGAGAATATAATGTCGGCCATTTTTATATATGACAACAGAACCTAAATCGAGGTAAGGCTAGCCTAGCAGTGTTGCTAGGCTAATGTTTTCGGCACCTACAATATTTCTTTGCAGACCTATTGCAAAATCAAACATGTAACAAATTTATCTTGTGTTTATTTTTTGTGTGGAACACAAGGAAAATCAAATTTGTTTCATGTTTAGGAATGTCTAAATTCAGTTAAACTAGCAATTCTGTATGATATTTAAAAATCTTTTTTTCTAAGAACTGGAATTTTGCCGGGAATGGGACTTTAAGCAGTGTTGTCTGGGAAGAAAAACTTCTGTTACGAGGCCTGTTTTACATGTATTTGCTTTCTCATGACATAAACATGGTGACATTTTGTTATTTAATTAAATAATTAAAAATCATTTTGACAGTAATTCTATTTTTAATGGTTTATTTCGAAATAAAGGCCAATATACAGCCATTCTCACTCTATTATCAAATCAATCATTTGTTACATGTACAGTATATCGCTATAATATATTTCTTTATTTTATTTATTTATTTCAACAATATTTTACGAGGGTGGTCCATCCAGCCGGAGCTGATCATTAGGTACCCTCAATACATAACACAAGTAACAAAGGAAATATAGATATAAAAACAAAGAAATTAAAATGAAAAAATAATTTTAAAAAAAAAGCCAAGTGACAAAGGAAAAGAAATTATTACATATATACATATTATATAAATAAAAAATTTAAAATAAAATCAAATTGATTATAAAATAATTAAAAGCAGAATAAGGCAAAAAAAAATAAAAGCAAAAAATAATGAAGTTAAAAATAAAATTAAAAAAAAATTTTAATATATATTTATAAGTTATATAAATAATAAATATAAGTTTCTAACATCCCATTATTAATTAGTGTGTTTCATAACAGAAAAGGTGACCTGTTTTGCATGTATTTGCTTTCTCATCACATAAACATGGCTACTGTACATCTTATTATTAAATTAAATAATTAAAAATCATTTTGACAGTAATTCTATAGTTTAATGGTTCATTTTTAAATAAAGCATTAAGACATAGCCAATCTCACTCTATTCAATCATTTGTTACATGTACTGTATATCAGTATTATATATTTCTAATTTCGTATTATTAGTGTGTTATCACAACGGAAAAGGTGTCCTGTTAATATATCTCAGAACAATTGTATCAATGGGATAGTAAGATAACGTTAATAATCATATAAAGTGCTTTACTACTTTATGGTTGTCTGTGTTGTCATTATCTTCATTGTTGTTATTATTACAAAATGAACTATTTGTCCATTAAGAAATTGTGAGAAAATTTGTTTCACTTAACATGATATTAAAGTACATTACACATTGATAAATAAAACAAACTTACACCACATAATTATTAGTGAAATTTGTCATATTAAAAAAAATATTTACATTTAAATTAATTATTATTGTGATATGATTATTATCTACTACTGATGAACACTGAACAATCAAATTGTGTTTCAGATCCGCAGCATTAATGTTGTTATTTATTACTGATGAACATTAGTTGCAGTGATTTATTTAAAAATATATTTTTTAAATGAACTATCAAATTGTATTTCAGATTGGCAGCATTAATGTTGTTATTTATTACTGATGAACATTAGTTGCAGTGATTTATTTTAAAATATTTTTTTAAAACGAACTATTAAATTCTGTTTCAGATCAGCAGCATTAATGTTGTCCGTCAACCATCTAGTTCTCGTTACAAAAAATGCTTGTCATGTGACAGAAAACCTGGAATGGATCGAAGCTGCACTGCTTCAAATGGAAGAACATCAGCAAATATTGAGGGCGGCATCATTAGCGTCTGAGGAAGATTCACGTAATGGGTCAGTCTCCTCGGCAACAGAGAGCACCACCCAGCAACCGCTAGTGGAAGAAAGATTCACCGAACTGTCGTCATCTCCTGTGTAATAGTTTGAAAAGAATTATCAATCAAGAGGTAGAATGGACATTGATGCCATCACCAACAGATATATTTATAGCTACCAATTATCTCTTGATACTGAGTGTTCATACAAATCAGCCAGTCAAAAGAGAGAGCCTTTAAGTTTTAGCAGTAAGGACTGCACCCACATAAACAAGACTTTATTCATGATGAAAACAAATTTGTTATTCACAAGTATGAACCTTGCCAATTAAAGGATTTTCAATATTGCAAAATGTTGGATATTTACAGGCCTCTAAAGAGTGTGAAACAAACTTTTATGAAATGATGCGAGCCATTGTGAATTAATTTGAACTTGTTCAGTTTTATAAATGACTATGTCATGTATATACTGTATTAGTGAGTTTTTAACAATCAGCATTTAAGTATTATGAGGGGCAAATATTCATGACAATAACGTTTTGTGTTGTTTGTGTCCACACCTTGGTTTACAAACCAAAATCCATATATTGTGTTTGAAGCAAAAGAATCTTGTACAGGATCTATACATGAGAGTCAAAGAGTTGTACTTATTCAAATTATGAATTAAAATACTGAATAGATGTTGATTTTGCAAACAGCATGCAGCAACATTTATATCTTGTAATATTTACAGTAGTGCCATGTACAGAACAAAAACATTAACAATGCCCAGAAATAGCTTATAAATAACCTTTACAAGTATGAAATATTTGACATTCCTGGGTTTTTTTGTACATTTTCATTAAATAGGGATTAAGATATTACAGTTTATGTACAGATTTACTATCAAAATGTGTTTGTAAAATAGCAAGTTTATTTTTATATATTAGTTAAAAAAAATAATAGCTGATTAGAAGTGAATACTAGAAAGTTCAAAGAATATAGTCATGGGTTTGTTGTTTGGAAGACAATAGACACAGGTGATTGATAATTCATCTGTCAGTTTATTGAATTATACAACATTATATAATTTAAGAGTATACCCTTATATATTAAAATAAATTGACCAGGCGTTTATTGTTGAGAAGGGTTCAAAGGGACGTTTACTGTATTCGAGGGAGGCGTAAAATGGATATGCACAGTATATACTCAAATAAACGCACTGTACTCACAGCACACGTAATTAAAATGTGTTATTGCGTGATTCTGAAGAATTAAAAAAAATTTAGTCCTAATTCTACTGGAGTAGAGCATTAATAGAATATGTTGAGAATAATGTTGCTTCCAACAGTTTTGTTTACAGTCATTTTCGTTAATTTGAACATAAATGCAACGGTGTGTTATTGAGGGAGGCATTTAGTACAACTGGGTCTCTGAAGGGGGTGTTTATTTTAGTGGGGGATGGGCGTTTATTTATAGCAGGGCCTTTTATTCAAATAAATACGGTGTCTGTGTTGAGATAATTACCATCACTGTAATTATATAAGTTGCTTACTTTGTATATATAAGTTATACTGTAAGCTTTCAAATAATAATGGAACTGGAAAGATACTTCCCTCTTCAATTGACTCATTGACAATATGTTCCTGAAGTCTTTGCATAGATTCTTGAAGTAGGCTGGCAGAAAATTATATGATTTTTAAAATTCTGTAGGTCATGAAGTTTTATTTATAATATTTAGTGTTTTCCAAATTAAAACACAGACTGACTTAAAAGCAACACATCATTTCTGTATCTGGTTCCTAAATTTCCAAGTGATAGCTAATGTAAATGTATAGCATTGCTTAATATTTAACTTTTTTCCATTACAAGATTTATATATGATTTATACACAATACTGCTGAGTGCTTGATGTTTAATTTTAATGGGATCAGTGGTATTGTAACATCTCTAATTGAATATATAATTTAAATAGAAATTAGATAAGATAAGATAAAATAAGATTGGGATTTCAAATACTTAAGTGAACACTACAACTTCACAGAGGCTGATAATGTTAACCAAAACTACAATATAGCCAATTTGTTTATTTTTTTATGTGTATATGTGCATTTGTATTTTGTTTTGATTTATATCTGAATATATGCTTTAAAGAAAAGTCTCTTGCAAGTATCATAATTGAAGGAAGAGTCTAGTGATGGTCTTTGCTCCTTTAGATGATGACAGTGTTAGCAGTTGTCTTTACTGCATTAGAGGATGCACAAGTAGTGGTGAGCCTTTGATGATGGCATTGATTGTCTTTGCTGCTTTTAGAGGATGCACCGGTATTGATGTCTTTTTAGCCTTTGAGGATTACAGTGAATGACCCGGGGCAAAAAAGTTCAGAAGAGTAATTTCTATAATATTTGTTTAAACATCTAAAATACATAAAAGGCTGTAGCTTTTGGGGGATTGCCCAGGATCAACATATTGTCCAAATCATGTAACCATTGATTTGTATTTATTAACCATCAATTATGCCTATGTATATATACATTGTCCGAAAGTTTGGTTGTATTTCTGGTTGTTTACTTTTCAGCTCGTGACTGCATTATCAATTTTGTTTCTCAACCAAGATCCAACCATTGTTTCCCACAGCAGTATTTTAATAATAAAAATAAAGGCTTTGTTTAAACACAGAACAGCTTGTATCACCCGAAGGTGTTCTACAAGGCCGTGATATTGATAAAATACTAAAAAGATTAACACCATTTACTAAATATTTTTTATAAAAGTAAACCTAAACAAATTAAAAAAATAGCTCTCAACGAATGTATTTTTGTAAATAAATGAATAAAGAAATTGTGTAATAAAATTCCTCTCATGGGATTCGAACCTCGCTCTCAAGGCGAGCATCATAACCATTAGCCCACAGAGGCTTATGGTTGAATAGATTCAAATTACCACCAGATAAACAAATAATTACATATAATAGCCGTTAACACTTACATTATATAACAAACAATAACCATAAAATGATAGCAGAATTCCCATTTAACTAGTGAATTAATGATCCAAAATGTTCAATACTGTACTCGCATTTGTTACTAATTCAAAAGTCTTCTTTGTAGTCTATTAAGTAATGCTTATATGTAGAACGCCACCTGGAGTGATGTAAAAAACAATTCATTATTTTTTTTTTCTAATGCGCCATTCCTTTATGACGATGAGGATGATGAGGGTGATGATAATAATAAAAAATAATAATAATAATGATAATGATGGTGGTGGTTATGATGATATTGATGATGTTGATATGATGGTGGTGGTGGAGGTGGTTATGATGATGTTGATGATGATGGCAGTGATGATGATGTCGATAATTATTATTAGGTTGATGATTGTAGGATAAGAATTGACTTTTAAAAAAAACGACTCCGGTAAAATCAGTATATAGGCTGTTATGTGACACAAAAGTATTAATGGTCAAGCCGACCCTAATTACTTGCAATCAAAATTTATCACCCTTTTAAAGTGAGGGACATGCATTTTTGTAAAGTATGTATGTGCTATTTCCCATAGTTACCAACCATCTCGCATTATGTGGGATGGTCCCGCATTTGAAAGTGATTTTAGTTGAAACATGCATTTTGCAGAAACACATGCATGTTCATAAATTTGTCACACGTTTAGCACAGGTCTATGCGTGATAACTAATTGTCACAGATTCAGGGAAAAATCTATTTAAAATTAGAAGTAATTAGTTTTATTAAAATATAAAACTGTCATGCAGTTTAAACTTGAGTCATTAAACAGTAATTACGTGAATGCTTAATTCACTGACACGCTACTCATTAATCAGTATGCCTATTCATTTTTTGTTTGTTTAAGTAATGAAATGTTGTGTATACAGTAGTTCGGGT